TGTGTGTGTGTGTGTGTGTGTGTGTGTGTATGTATGTGTGTGTATGTGTGTGTATGTACGTATGTGTGTGTATGTATGTATGTATGTATGTGTGTGTGTGTGTGTGTGTGTGTGTTTATGTGTGTATGTATGTGTGTATGTATGGGTGTGTATGAATGTGTTCATATGTATTTGTGTGTGTATGTGTGTGCGTATGTATGTGTGTATGTATGTATGTATGTATGTATGTGTGTGTGTGTGTGTGTGTGTGTGTGTGTGTGTGTGTGTGTGTGTGTATGTATGTATGTATGTATGTATGTATGTATGTAATAGTCCTTTATCCGCCTCTGTGTGTATACACGGCTCTATTCAATATCTACCTTGTATGATATTTCAAAATTCTCTCCTCCCCATATCTGAAGCCCTGGGTCATACAGACCCAGCTCAAAGAAGAAGTCTCTCTCTATAGCAAAGAGCCCCCCCGCCATGGCTGGAGACCTGCAGGTTCAAAACAGACACATATCCAGAAACAGACTAATAGACATGCTCAAACTGTGTATCTTTCACACTGAAGCTTACTCTCTGAACATCAAATAATGAAACCTTCTATTCCTTTATTCTATATCACACTTTAAAAGGGGGAGGCTGTGGCGCAGTGGACTAGTGCGTTGGTGTTTGGATCGGGGGTCACAGGTTCAAACCCCTCTGCAGTCAGCATGTCGTTGTGTCCCTGAGACACTTCACCCCAAATTGCTCCTCTGGGGATTGCCCACAGTATTGAAAATGTAAGTCGCTTTGGATAAAAGCGTCTAACAAGTGACATGTAATGTAATCATGTAATGTAAAATGCTGAATTATCTCTTAACATTGGCATCTACATTGCCCTTAAATAAAGGTCAGCCATTATAATCCAAGTTTTTGTCAAATTCAGAGAAATATCTCCTCACGATCAGCTAGCTGTGTGTTCTGTGTGCTGAAACAGAATGTGCTGTTCATACACAGCCCTGTAAATTACATGTGAATACAACAAATACAAAACTGTTCCCATGAGAACGGGCGAGAGGAAGGAGCACTGACGGGAGACGGTTTGGGTGCGGAGTCCAAATATAAACTCTAGAATTGCATACTCCACCTTCAAAGCCCAGACAGTCAGTTACTGTATTAATAATAACAACATCAACAACAACATAGAACAATAAGATATGAGTAGAAGGAAAGTGGAGAGAAAAGACTGACAATGAGACAAGATGAATGAAACATTGGAGGAAAGTGGGGGTGATGGTGCCCCCGTCCGAACCCAATCCACACCAGAAGTTCCCGTGAAGACCAAACAAAATGACAAACTCATCCCGACTCTGCTTCTAAATTCAGGTTTAACAATCTCACTTAAGGCAGGGCTGATGGTGTCATATCCCGTTAAAGTCCCTGTAGTTCAAGTAGACAAAAAGAAAAAAAGGTAGATTCACTGACTTGGGCCCAAAAAACGGGAAAATTACTTGCTAAACAGGACCAATGAAAACACATAGGACGAAGAGAAGAAGACGTACGAGAGTCAGTCCCTGTCTGGAGGAAACAAACAGGGCCCACAGTTAACTCCCAATATTAGAAAGATTGAGGCCCACACGCAGACAAGAGACAGGACAGGAGTGAGCTACTCCCCATCAGAGGAGTTGCACACTTTGGGTTTAGTTGGTTAGTTGTAATATTCAGTATGGGAGGACTAAATAATGTGATGTATACAAGTTTTGCACATTTGAAAGATCTGAAGAGTTTGTATTAAGTATTAACTGATGGCACCTTTCCACCCTGCATAAATATTTCAGTTATTCAGGTTCATTTTTGAGTTGGTTTCTGTGTTTTACTGCTCTTGCTAAAATACAATAAACTAACTTGTGAAGATTATTTGTCCAGATGAGTCAGGAGGGGTTGGTTTTCTGTACCTATATGGCTCAGTCTGAGTTTTTCTCCGTTTTTTTTCTTTGTCTCCCAGAGGAACTCTCTTCCAGAGCATGCTCCAATCCCAGGCTCCCCTAGCGAAGCCGTCCTCGTCTCCTCCACCCTGGGGCTCCATGGTGTAACTCTGGCCGTTGATAGAGTCGATCAGAGGCACCGTAGACACCGTTCTGACAGAGTGGGGATGGGGCCATGCATTCAAGACACATGGGGGGAAGAGGTGTAGGGGTGGTGTACATGAAGGAAAGAAAAACAGGCAAAGACGCATAAAAGTGCCGGTGGGGTTTCAGAGACCAAGACAGCGTGAGACACAGTGGAGGAGAGGACAGGTGGGACAGAGGGATAGGAGATGGAGACACAAACAGAGAGGGATGAGGGTTAGCATGCTGTGTGTACCGGTAGGGCTGCGTGGTGTGTTTTCTCTTGTCCTTCTCTCTCTGGCTAAGAGGAACTCTCTTCCAGAGCAGGCTCCAATCCCAGGCTCCTCTAGCCAGGCCGTCCTCATCTCCACCCTGCTGTGGCTCCATAGTGTACTCATTACCATCTATATAGTCTATCAGTGGTACTGTGCATACTGTCCTGCGCGCGCACACACACACACACACACACACACACACACACACACACACACACACACACACACACACACACACACACACACACACACACACACACAGTATAGTAAGCGGAAGTCAACACTTGCTGTGATTAGTACTGTGTTGTGCAGTGGCTCTGCATAATGATATATGCCCATGATAGATACAAAATCAAGAACAATATTATTTAAAGTATCTGATATTAATCCACAATACCCAGTGTCTGTATTAGGCTGGGATGATGCTTTCAGTGTCCATAATGAGTTATACAGCTGAGAGTGTTGTCTGTGTCATTACAAAACCTGACAGCACAGTGTTTCTGTTCTGCATGCAGCAGCAGCAGCCCTTCAGGCTGGACTGACACATGGGGAAACTTCATGTCCAAGACAAATGCATGAATTCAGGTGCACATCATAGATCACAGAAACTCCCCTAAAATGAGCAGGATGTACATACAACCTGCAGAATTGGTTTCAGCACATACAATGCTCAACGCTGTAGTGCTGATATTAAAAAGTGAAGCCATGCTTTGTAGCCCTGCGGCTAGACTCTTCTTATGCATAACTATACTCTGCATGAAACAGAATACTGCAGCATCAGCTGAGAGCAGAAGCTATTTAATACATACATAAGAATATACACAATCTCAAAAACATCTGTGAAATAATAGCAACCCATACATCTCTATCACTTGGTCAGGATTAAAAATGTATAATGATGACTTTGAATGTGCTGCAGGACAACCCTTTAGATAGGAATAAAGGAAAGAGAACAAATGTGGACTTCTAGCCCACTTCCACTCCCCGTTACTTTACTGTATGTCTATCCATTCCTAATAATATACCTTGCTAGAAGGCCAATTGCCCTCCAGGGATATAATGAGGTTGAAAGAAGGTTATATTTGATTACAGATATCAAGATTGAACTGGACACCAACACTGATGATGTTATGAGTAAAAGTTGCTTTTTGCATGCACCAAGAGTAGCTTACTGATGATCTTTGTCAAATAAATTCTCGCATAAAATGTATCACAAAGTTTTCTGTATGAACCGTACCTACTGCCTAACAAAAAAGGACCAGTAAATACAAATATATTGTAAATGTTTAAATAAATAAAAAGACATGTGCTGAAAAGAAATATGATTAAAATAACGGACTGCAATAAGTAATAAAGCAGTCTGTAAACTCTATTGGATAACGGCCAGATCAACAGTTGTGTGTGTGTTTGTGTGTGTGTGTGTGTGTGTGTGTGTGTGTGTGTGTATGTTGTGTGTGTGTTGTATGTTGTGTTGTGTGTGTGTGTGTGTGTGTGTGTGTGCATTGTACACAGCTCTATTCAATTTCTACCTTGTATGATATTTGAAAAATTGTGTGTGTGTGTGTGTGTTACCTGTCTTTTGAAATAGGAGCAACCAGTGGAGCATACCAGTTGACTCCAACCTCACAATGAGCATCCAGGTAGATCAGCACCTGGAACATAAACATGTCTGTTTTGCTTTGTGTTTAAAAATAATGTCACGTTGTCAGTCTGATCAATGCTACCAACTGTGTTTCAGACTTGGTATAAGTTAGGTTTCAGTAGTTGTGGTAGTAGGAGGCGGGGATCATACCGTACCTGTCCTTTAGTGGCCTTCAGTGCTCCTATACTCCTGGCCTGGATCAGTCCTTCTCTCTTCTCATTCCTGAAGAGTTTTACAAGACCGTTCCACTGCTTGATGTAATCAACCAAACGCTCCTTCAGATGCTCTACACACACACACACACACACACACACACACACACACACACACACACACACACACACACACACACACACACACACACACACACACACACACGACCTTTATTGTGCACTGAGACATTCCACTGGGCATTGATGTGGAGCCCTGGTCTCAGAGGGAATCATATGTTGCTTTGCTCCGTGGGCCAAGAACACACTGTTAATTCCCTTGCCAAACAATGTGACTTCACCATGGTGACAGAGGTTGGTAGTCTGCTATTTAGTTTTCACATAAGTGCTAAGGGAGGGCTCCTCCTTTCTGTGGTTGATGCTGAATTGTTCAAGATATAATCATATTGTGACCCCCCCCCCCCAATCATTATACTGTAAGTGAGGAAAGCAAACCCACCTTTGTTGCTGAAGTCATCTATCATGACTATCTCAGCCAGGTATCTACTGGGAGTCCGCTTGATGACACTGTGGATGGTTCTCATCAGTGTAGACCAGCCTTCATTATGGAAGACTATCACCACACTGGAGGTCATCAGTCTGTCATCATAATGCCAGTACTTACACCTGCAGAGGTGGGACAGAGTGCAGAGGGCAGGTCAGCTATACTTATGTTACACATTTTCTAATTCAACAGAAGTGCACTTCTGTATGTTTGGAACTGTACACTGTATACATGTGTTTTATTGTATAAAATGTTGATAAAAACATTGTTTAAAAAAGAAATGAATAGGGACCCTGAAAGATTTTTACTGCAAGAGACTTTCCAGATATTTCAATATTTTTAAGTATTGCTAAGTGTGCTTTATCTATGGAGACAGCATTCAGGCAGCCTCTCACTGAGACTCACACCAGGAACTATGCAGTCGTAAGTCAATTTCCTCAAAGTTTAGGATGTGGGTTTGTCGGGTTACCGTTTTAGTTATTGTCATTTGAAGCTGGACGTGAATATATCTTCTGTGTTAGTAGCTGGATGTGACCTTAAAGACAATAGAGAACCGCAGTGACGCGTCGAAAAACCCGGAAGTAAACTTCTTCCGGTTCCTTCATGAAAAACCAATGCAAATTCTCCATAGGATTTTGGAAAATAGCTCGAAATAAGGTCTGTGGTTGACACACATTTAAGAGGGATCACGTTTTGTTCAGCCGGATAATCTCCACATGTCAACCCTACTTTTATAATTTTTGAATCATAAATCTAGTCGCCAAAAGCGAAATGCTAACGTTATGCTATAAACGAACTACAAGCCAGTACAGCAGCAGGGTCGCACGACTTCAACGTCACGCCAACTTAAGATCGTTTCAACTGACTTGCACTGAAACTGCACTTTGAACACTTTAAATATATTAACATTTTAAACTGTATACCCCGGTTATCTAGGCCCTTTTTGTTTTGTTTAATGTATACCACGTTTATCTAGGCCGTTTTATGTATACATGTCACACTGTGGGAAACGATATTTCTGGATGTATAACATGACAATAAAGCTGATTTTGACTTTCGCGTGCTTGCATATTTTAACAAAGCTTTTCATTTTAGCCACACTGAATTTAACTAGAAGTCATGGCTGTGTCAATTACCAGTCTGATATCGTTTTACAAAGATGACAAGAAGAGTGTAGATAGAGGAGAGAACCACTACAAGCCAGGACACGTTACAGTGCAGCCTAGATGAAGGTGTGCTTACCGGTGTTGTCAGGGCTAGCATGAGGGACAAGGTTTATAGGTGAGTAGTGATAGCAAGAGTACCGTTAACCTAGAGTTAATTTATTCACATTAATTCCCATCAACAAATCAATTGTATGTGTCACATGAAATCTTTATTAGGCAAGGCAAGTTTATTTATATAGCACTTTTCAACACAAGGCAATTCAAAGTGCTTTACAAAAAATGAAAGACATTAAGAAAATGGCATTTAAAATCAGTCATTAAAAAGAAAAGCTAATAAAATAAACATTAAAAGAAAAAATACATGGATAAAAGTTACAGTGCAGTTTAAGATATGAATAGTTCAATTAAAAGCAGCGACAAAAAGAAAAGTCTTCAGCCTGGATTTAAAAGTAGTAAGAGTTAGCGGACCTGCAGGTTTCTGGGAGTTTGTTCCAGATATTTGGAGCATAATAACTGAACGCTGCTTCTCCATGTTTAGTTCTGACTCTGGGGACAGAAAGCTGACCAGTCCCTGAAGACCTGAGAGATCTGGATGGTTCATCATTTAGCAGGAGGTCAGAAATGCATTTTGGGCCTAAACCATTCAGTGATTTATAAACCAGCAGCAGTATTTTGAAATCTATTCTTTGACACACAGGAAGCCAGTGTAAAGACTCCAGAACTGGAGCGATTTGATCCACTTTCTTAGTGTTAGTGAGGACTCGGGCAGCGGTGTTCTGAATCAGCTGCAGCTTTCTAAAAAGATTTTTTAGTGAGACCTGTGAAGACACCGTTGTGTGTGTATGT